TTTGCAAAACACACATTTAGTAGTGACTTAAGTGCACAGAATCCATTCAACAACCACTTCCACAACTGTCAACTAGACTTTGGCATTTGCGTATTTCTTAAAACACAATCACACCACATTAGAAAAGTCTGACAACAGAATCCATAAAAAAACTTTTTAGAGAAAATTTGTAGCATAAGATTTGAAGCAGAATTATGTACTTACACCCCATAAATTCAGATTCTGATTGAACACCTTATCACCTTCAAACACAATATGGATATTTAGCTGCAAAAAAAGAAAGGAAGAAAGGCATATCCAATGAAAGAGAAATGCAAGTTTACTCACATTTATTCAAACAGGTCTATTATTATTTGGAAGTAACTCTTCTCTTTAAATGTATGTTTCAGCAATGTTTCTCAAACTTGGCCAGTTGAAGATGGGTGGACTTCAACTCACAGATTTCCCCAGCCAGTTGGGGAATTCTGTGAGTTGGAAGTCCGCCCATCTTCAACTGGTCAAAGTTGAGGAACACTGTACGAAAGAAAAACAGATTTTCCAATTCTTTCAACCACTCTTTACAAAATTCCATTTCTAGATTATCTTACTGCCATTTTCTGAACTTCTTCCGATTTCTCTGATTCCTTTTTAAAGCATGGTGACTCAAACTTGATACCACCCCAGATATCCAAACAAAACATAGGAAAGCAGAACGATTAATCCCACAACTGGGAAATTGTGTGCCTACACTGATGCTGTGTAAAATTGTATCTGCCTTTTTTTGCCAACGCATCATACCGCTAGCTCAGATCCAATTTGCAAACCGGCCCTTACCCCAAGCTCTTTTTCACAACTGCTGTTATTAATCCAGTATTTGCCACCTCGTTTCCATGTGCTAAATTTCTAAGGGAAGAACCCTGTATTTGCTTCTATTGCATTGCTATTTTCAGCCCATCTTTTTAATCTGATTTTTTTCTAAAAAATGTCCTCTAAAGTATTAACTACACCACCCAATGTTGTGGCCTCTACAAAGTTGGTAAGTGATCTCTTTATGTTCTCATCCAATAAAAATGTTGAAAATTACAAGCTCCGTTTCTGAACTGTGCCTCACCTCACTTAAAACCTCTCCACAATTTGATGAAGAGCTGCTGGCGATTACTCTTTGGGTGCGATTATTGAACCAATTATATATTCATGACATTGTCATGCCCTCCCTCCAACAGATAATTAGTTTTTTAATCAGCCTCACATAAAAAGGAGTTACAAAGAACTAAGAACACCTCTATATGTTTATCTCTGTGTGCATATACTTTATTGCAACTAATTTAATAGAGATAGTTTATTGTCGTATGGCTCTGTGGAAGATGTCTCACATACTTCGCATTCTAATGCAGTACAATCTCCTCTGGTGGTACAGACCAGTGGTGGGTTGCAGGCGGTACGCCCCAGTACAGGCATACCGGAGCCTGCCTGGAGCACCGGATACCGTTCCAGTACGGTGCTCTGAAGGGCCCACCTGAGCAATAGCAATAGCAGTAGACTTATATATCGCTTCATAGGGCTTTCAGCCCTCTCTAAGCGGTTTACAGAGAGTCAGCATATTGCCCCCAACAATCTGGGTCCTCATTTTACCCACCTCGGAAGGATGGAAGGCTGAGTCAACCCTGAGCCGGTGAGATTTGAATCGCTGAACTGCTGATCTAGCAGTAGCCTGCAGTGCTGCATTTAACCACTGCGCCACCTTGGCTCCTTATAGGTCTTTTAAGTCTTTGGCGCTTCCGCGCATGGCACATACAGCACCTGCACGATGCTCCGCTGAGCGGCTGTAGTGTCGTGGAGGCTAGTGAAGGCACTCAGATGTATGCACGTGCACTGCACGCGGCCATGGGGATGCCGCCGAGCCCATTCCAACTGTACCGGTTGGAACGGGATCCAGAACCCACCACTGGTACAGACCTAACTCCCCGTGAAAAGTTTAAATGTTAGGAAAGGTTGAAGGAAGGAGATGAGGATGATCAGCAGCGAGATGGATGCACTCTGTTACAGTGGCCACTAAGCACATCATTGGAAGATCTGAAGTACCAGCTATGGGGAAGACCACCATAGGGAAATTCTCTGTAGGCTGATTCAACACTGAAGGTCTTTAGGGATTCTCAGTCATCCAGGTCATGGTTGTCCCAAAGGTGCTTTTTCAGGAGGCAATTTGTTTTTTTAAGATGTTTCACTTCTCATCCAAGAAGCTTCTTCAGCTCTGGCAGGATAGTGGGGAATGGAAGGATTTATATTCCTTGCATAGAGCTTGGTAATATGCATCCTTTTAGAGGGTTGATGAAGCACTTGGAGGTTTATTTGTGTCCTCAAGGTCACCTGAGTAGTGTTCCTGGTTCCTTTAGTCTGCAATTTTTGCTTCTGGAAATAAATCCTTCCATTCCCCACTATCCTGTCAGAGCAGAAGAAGCTTCTTGGATGAGAATCAAAATGTCTTCAAAAGAAAAAAACAAGAAAGTTCAGTTGCGTCCTGAAAAAGCACCTCTGGGACACAGTCAACACTGAGTTGATGGCATGCAATCAATCAATCAATCAATCATTTATGCATGTATATCAGCCCCATCAAAGGAAAAAAGTAACTTACTAATGTACTGTTTGCCTCTACCTGGCAAAGTTCAGGAATGGAATTTTTCGCATAGATTGATATTGTCACTTCACGCCCAGTTTGATGCCAGTCGTGCCTGCATGGCACCACCTTCTTCCCCTTAAAGTTGAGCAGACAAACATGATTAATTTTTCATTAAAAAAAAACTTGCTATCTATTTTTTTATTGGAGTGAAGATTGCTCAATGTAATCTCCAATGTAATCAATGTAGCTAAACAGTGTAGCTGCAACTACTTACGGCATCCTTCTTAATCCACAGGTGTGTTCCCGTTGTGCAGCCCTCTTGAGCCAAAAAAGTATTAAAGTCTGATGTTTTCCTCTTACAGCAACTCCAGTACTTCATCCTATATATTGCAAAGGGTGGGGGTGGGGGGGTTAAATCTTACATAGAATCACGTAGCACTATTGCTAGTCATCCAAATATGCTGCTCGTCTATAAAGAATTTTAAGAATGAATTTAGCCACATGATACCCACCCTTCGTGGAATATAGGCACACCAGCATGATAGATACACGCGTCCTCTGTGTTGCCTGGTCCTTCAAATGTCTAGGGACACATTAACAGAAAATAGTTCATTGGCCACTGAATTACAGCAGGTTACATCCCAGTGCTTGCCAAGCAGGAAAAAGTCACGCATGGCCACAGCCATTTTTATTATTTTGCAATTCCAATTGGTCTTCAGCTGAAAGTGTTACACAATGAGCCAAGTTTCTTCCAGCTGTCTGGATGAGAAAGAAGGGGCGGGGTCGGGGAGGGAAGGCTTTTCTGTTGCTCTTTTAAGGGACATTGGAAAAATATTTATCTATGCAGATTTGGATCAACATTTGAACTTTAGACTTTGTTTAAAATAATTACTTGTTGTTATGATTCATGTGTACTTAAAAATAAGAAAATGGGTGAAAACTCCCTTGGTTGCGAATGCAAAAAATAATGGACGTTGATATATATATATAGGACCCTGTCTTATTTTTGGGAAAACATAGTACATATATATATAAAAATTATATATATGTATATAATTTTTTATATATATGTACTATGTTTTCCCAAAAATAAGACAGGGTCTTATTTTCTTTTGACTCCCGTAATGGCCTTATTTTCAGGAAGGTCTTATTATTTTTGAGGTGCAGGAGGTGGCGAGCGTGGTCACCTCATGGCTGCTGCTCTGTTGCAATATTTTAGAGAGGGCTTCTTTTCAGGGGAGGGCTTATTTTGGCACATGCGCTCAAAAGCCCAATTGGGCTTGTTCTCCAGGTAGGTCTTATTTTCAAGGAAACAGGGTATAACTATTCATGGGATGTGTTGATGTAACATTTGTTGGCGGGTCTACACTAAAACAACGATAAATAAAATAGACGGTCTACTGTGTTGTTTAAATAAGATTTAAAGAGATCTACCTTTGAACAGCCTGCATTTTTGCACGGAGTCCCAATCTTTATCTCATCGCTATCATCTTCTGTAAAATAAAATATTCTCCTTTAGAACGTTTCTAAGTTGTCATGCTTAAAAGAAATTTTTTGGGGGAGAGGGGGAGGATTGGGATGTACTGTATAAGAGATCAGAGGAGCACTCACACTGAGTATTTTGCACACAAGATGTTTGCTTTTCAAACGATAGCACCATGCACACTGCAAAAATGAAGTATAATAATAATGGACACAACACATTCTTTGGTAAAATCACCTTGGAATATTACTAAGCTACGTACCTTTTTTTATTTCATTTTCCGTTGATAGCTTTAGCTTTTCTAACGCCTGTTTCAAGGACGCTGATACTTTTAACTGCAAGCAGCTCATTGGTTCATCAGAACTAAGGAACCACAGGGGAAAAATGTTTATTCAGTCTCAACAACTAACCATTTTGCATATTTTAAGGAGGTTAAAAAGAGTTCTTAATATTAATATTCTTGGTAGTTACTCTTATGATTAAGGAGGATTATATCGTATAGATTTACAATTTTATCCAAGATTGGTTTACAAAGGTATTTTGGGTTTCTCTGGGAATAAAGTAAAATAAAACATAGACATTACACTTAGACAGCAAGTAATTAAAAAAAAGTTATAACCTATTTAGTTGATTTGGCATTAATGCCAGCCTTAATTGCAGTATTATCGTAGTATTGTTACCTTGGTCTTTGAATGGCTTCTACTGGCCTTGGTGCTTGAATTATGTGCTCTTGAAATTTAGGTTTCAGATCAGCTAATTCTTTTCGTTCAGAGGTAATTTTCACTTCAGGTTTGACCGGCTCAGGGGGTTTCTCACTATTATGGAAGCCCTTGGTGCAACCCTGTTGTAAAAAAAACACTATTTAATACAAATTGTTACTCAGTACTATCAATGTACTTGAAAATGTCTCTTTTCTTATTAGCCCCCAGATTTTTTATCATTCTAACGTGTATGCTTGGTTAAGCAGATAAACCCCCCCCTTTTTTTTTTACTAGACTAATCATACGTTTACACCTATACCAACTTCTGTTCTTCACAGTATTGTAAGATGGTAGGCTAGCAGAGTTCATGTTTAAAAAAGCTTAGATAATAAGAGTCCCATTTAAACACAATATGCCAGGTAGTATACTAGCCGGAAATTAAATAAAGCCAGCTAGCTTTTACATATGTCTGCCAATGGAAAAATTAATTGACTGAATTTGGCACTCAAGCATTAATATAATACAATAGTTAAATAAAAACCTACGTAGCTACTAATACATACCTTAATGCTTAAGAAATCAGAAAAGTCTGTGGTTCTTCTTTTACAGCATGACCAGCCCTGTAAAAATATGGTGGCATTGAAATCTTAGATCTAATGTCAGGTGCAAACAACAGGAGCTATACATGTAGAGCTACCTTATTTTTATCTGCCTATAGTACAGGAGTCTACCCAGACTGGCAAATTTCATCTGGGAAAGACCAGATAAGGCCTAAGTCATTCAAGGGGGAGGAATTTAGATTTAGTTCTGTTGTATTTAGCTGTTGGGGAGTCCAAGCTGATTCCTTGCTTGAGCCTTCCTCCCATCTAGGTTGGTTGCTCTCCAACTTCTAGAGAATATTATTAAAGAACACGTGAACTAAAGAGAAGAAAATTTAACACTAATCTGATAATGCCACATTCCTCTTAAATTATTTGATGAATCCTATTTTTCTGTCTTCCAGTTGCATCATTTCTGTTTTGTACTGCCCAACTAAGGCTTGATTAAGCAATGAAACAAGTTAATTAAATGTACAATCAAAATGCGAATCATCCCTAGCAAATACCTTTTTCCCAACTGAGCCAAAAAATCTGAATAAACTGAAAAGCATTCAACCCAATTCAGTTGGCTGAGTCTAGCAACCTTTCCTCATGATTTAGCATGTATTTATACTGAAAGTCAGTGTTGTTTGAAGAACCCATGAGTTTTTACTACATTCGGATAAACTGGTAAGGCCATGAAAACACTTGAAATAACTGCAATTAGTATGATTTAGTTTCAATTTTTAAAAAGCCATTGAAATAATTATATTTGCCCACTTACTTTAAGAGCATCATGAAAGACAGGTACACCTGGGTGATATGTGCATGATTCTAAAAATGAAAAAACAGATAGCTTAGCTGAACTCAAGTGAATAACTTTATATGAGCAGTATTTAGCAGAACAAATTACCCTTTATGCAACAGTAATATTTTCAAGATATGAAGTAAAGCCTGCAATTTCTTATAAATTCTTTTTCTCTACTGATTGATTGTCCTTGTTCCTCTCTCATCTCTGCTGGGTTCTGGTAGTCTAAATTTAGAATTTAGGCTGTTCGGATAAAGAGTGTCCCGTAGTTATTATTGTCGCAATGTATTATGTAATAATATTTGTTATATGAAGAAATATATCTGAAATGTTTCTTGGCAAATCATAATTCTATTATATTAAGGTTTCATTTGTATAACACATATCCCTCAAGGCACTATAAATGTACATTCCACATGGGCATCATGCATATTGCTTAAACTTATCTTCTGAAATAGGGTTGAACTATTAATTGTGCAAGAGAAATAAAGTTCTTGCTTAATGATCACCATGTAAACTCCGCAGAAATATTACCTCACAAATATTTAGATCATGCTTTTTTTTTAAAGGGAGCAAAACAATAACTGAACTTCATATTCAAGATGAATGTAACATCTAAACATCAGATAAAGGGATGGGGATAAATACAGTAGATTCTCATTATTCACAGATACTGTATTTGTGAATTTATCTACTTGCTAAATTTGTAACTGCAATCAATATCTGCAGTGATTTCATGGTCATTCACAGGCATGCAGAAGAGCAAAAGAATGAATTGCCTGACAGACACACTCACAACTGAGGTTTCAGTATTGACCAATTCAATGTGTGCATCTTTATAGAAAGTAACTACTACAAATATTGAGAGTTGACTGTACATTACATTCACTAGCCCTCTGCTATATCGTTGCTAACTCTTTACTGATGGAGGAAAGAACCTTTCCAAGAATGGGAGAAATCCTGAAAAATGATAATTAAAGCCAGAGTTCTCAGTTGAGTGCCTTCCCAAAGGTAGATGACATGGAAGAAGATGGGAACACAGCAATCGGAGTTTGCTGGTGTTTCAACCATTCAACCCATGCAGTTTCTTTCTGACAAATGAGTCTTCTTTAACATTATCACAAGGTATCATCAGGTAAAAAGATGTTGGAAAAATTGCTGCTGGAGAGAGACATGAAAGAAAGAGATAGCCATGTGCACATTGGCAATGCCTGATCTCTTTCTTCTATATATTATTTATATATGAACATCAAGGAAAAGTATTTTAACAAGACAATGATTTCAGTTTATGTATTAGAAGTTATAATTAAACATAACTTGCACATATGCAAAAGGGGGTTAAGAATGCTCACACAAAAATTGCTAATATGCCAAATGCTACATTATGTAACGAGGGATGTGCAGTGATCCAGATCTGAAGAGGGAAAAGCTGTTAATGAAGCAATGAAGGAACCCACATGTTTTCACTTGCTGGAATTTGTCATACATCAGTTACAGGGATTGGGCTAGCTATAGTGAGAAATATACAGCAATTTTAAGGAGTTGCCAATAGGTGAGAAGTACATATGTACTTATTATTTCAGCTTATCACAACATTCAAGGCAGCTTATGGCAATAAAATAAATAAATACAAAATACCAAAGAATGTAAAGCAACCATAAAATTCATATCCCAAAGGTGCTTTTTCAAGAGGCAACTGGACTTTATTTTATCTTTGAATCTTTTATCTTTCCTTCTCATCCAAGAAGCTTCTTCAGCTCTGACTAGATGGTGGGGAATGGAAGGGTTTATTTGTGTCATCAAGGTCACCTGAGTAGTGCAAATGGATCTGGAGCTTTCTTGGAACTGCTGAAAGGACTGTGTTGTAGACTGGCGATAGATGATGAAGACATTCCTTCCATTCCTCACCATCCAATCAGAACTGAAGAAGCTTCTTGGATGAGAAGCGAAACGCCTTCAAAGAAAAAAACAAGAACATTGCCTCTTGAAAAAGCACCTTTGGGACAACCATGACCTGGATGACTGAGAATCTCTACGGACCATAAGCTTCATATAATTAAAAACAAAAATAAAATTAAAACCCATCAGATAATGAACAATTATGAGCTTGACAATAACCAAGCTTTTGGCTACAAGGGACATCTTAAGAGAGCATCTCCAAGCTGATTAAAGCACCAGCCAACTTGAGTTACTGTATACACCTTGCAATCAAAATTCTGTCACATAATCTACGATAAACAATTGTATATTTATCTCTCCTCTTTCCTTTCCTTCTTTCCTATCCCTAGCAAGCTTTTACAGATCTCAAAAGTTAGTGGACTACCAGGGCTGCAGGCCAGACAGACGTTGAGGTGTGAGGACATCCCCCCCCCCAAAAAAAAACAGGCAGTGATGGACCACTCCTGTGTTGTTGAACACTGTTAATGCTGTGCTCTAGCATTTTACCAATGACTAGCACCAATGACCTTAGGGGGACCTTGACAGTCCAAATGGAGTCAGACCAGGTTTAAAAATAGTTTCTATCCTTGGGTTGTCAGACTCTTAAACAATCACTACAACTTCCTTCCTTCCTTCCTTCCTTCCTTCCTTCCTTCCTTCCTTCCTTCCTTCCTAATTACTTGGCAGCCCATCTCAACCCCAGGGTAACTCAGGGGGGGGGGATTGTCAAGAGAAAAGTCAGTGGTCAAGCTGGACTCCAAAGGAGGCTTTAAATCCATGTGTGGGCCGCTTGTATGTTGAGTAGACTTCAACTCCCAGAATTCTCTCGCTAGAATGACCATCATTAAGTGTTGTACTTTATGATTCTTGACGAATGTATCTTTTCTTTTATGTTCACTGAGAGCATATGCATAGAATTCTATTCTATTCTATTCCATTCTTTTTAATTCTATTCTATCCTATCTTCTATTCCTATTCTATTGTCTAATTCTATTCTATTTTATTCTATTCCCTCTAATTCTATTCTATTCTCTCTAATTCTATTTTATTCTATCCTATTCTCTCTAATTCTATTCTATTCTCTCTAATTCTATTTTATTTTATTCTATTCTCTCTAATTCCATTCTATTCTCTCTAATTCTATTTTATTCTAATTCTATTTTATTTTATCTATTCTCTCTAATACTATTCTCTCTAATTTTATTTTATTCTTATTCTTTATTTTATTCTAATTATATTCTATTCTAATTCTATTTTATTTTATTCTATTCTCTCTAATTCTATTCTATTCTCCCTAATTCTATTTTATTTTATTCTATTCTCTCTAATTCTATTCTATTCTCTCTAATTCTATTTTATTCTAATTCTATTTTATTTTATCTATTCTCTCTAATTCTATTCTAATTTTATTCTATTCTATTCTCTCTAATTCTATTTTATGTTATTCTATTCTCTCTAATTCTATTCTATTCTATTCTCTCTAATACTATTCTCTCTAATTTTATTTTATTCTTATTTTATTTTATTCTATTCTCTCTAATTCCATTCTATTCTTATTCTAATAATTCTATTATAGTCCTATTCTGTTCTCTCTAATTCTATTCTAAACTCTACTCTAAACTCTGTCCTGTCCTACATGGGAAATTCTGGGAGTTGAAGTCCAGCCACCTTTAAAGGGGCCCAGATTGAGGGCCATTGGAATTAAGAGAGGTTCGTTTTGAGTCCAGCTCGACCCCTGACATTTCTCTTGACAACTACGCCCAGAGTTACCCTGGAAGTTAAGATGGGATGGCAATAAATTCAATAAATTTATCATTTATTAGGTTTTTTTCCCGCCTCCCAAACCATCCGTCACAGGCATCGAGGGAACCCCCATCCCCTCATAAGCACCCGCAAGGCGACCTTCCTTCTTGACAGGATCTGGGCTTCAAATCCCATCGCCCCAAGCAGCCGTCTTCGCCCCCGGCCATGCTTGGCTGCGCACCATGGAGACTGTAGTACTCCCCGCTCTCCGGAGGGCGGCGAAGCCGACGATGCAGGGGAAGCTGAGGGGGTAAAAAGGGCCGCGCTCACCTTCCGTGTTGGTAGCGGGGTCGAAGCGCTGGCCGCATCCCCGGTTGTAGCAGAGCAGAGCCATGGCCGATGAGTGGAAGGAGGAATTGCCGGTCGTGTCTGATTGAGAGAAGCCGAATGACTGACAGGAAGGAAGGAAGTCGCCGCCTCTTCCGGGTTCCCGACAGTTTTTCCGAGCGGCAGTTTCGGGAAGCTTCGCGAAACTTCGCAAAGGTTGAGGCGGCGGGCGCAGGCGCAGAAGCGTAACCCACCGGGCGCTTGGAATTGGAGGCGAAAGGCGAGCGGCGCATGCGCGTCAGGGAGCCGGTGGGCGGGAGTTTGTTTTTTCCCCGTCACCTGGGTATTTGTTTGTTTGTTTATGTATTTATTATTTATTTTTATATAAATATATGCATGTGTGTGTATAATATTTTTATTATGTTATGTTATTTTATTATTTGTTTTATTTGTTTTATTATTTGTTTTAT